GAACTAATTAGAGTCCAGAGGATTTACTGAACTTGGGAAATGAGTGTGCAGACTCTGACAGGTACTTGTGGAGAGGGGAGAGCAGTGCTACACTTGAGAGTTTGGGAGTGATCCATAGTTGGAGTGATTCCATAGTTGATTACCCTGAAGTAACAGCCAGGAGCTCTTTTTATCAGCTTTGGCTAATATGCAAACTAGATCTAAGAATCTGGGCTTGTCACTAGAGAACCCCAGAAGACCAATGACACCTGTGCTAATAGCATTACTGTCAGCCAAGTCAGGAAACAGACTCCATATGAAATATTGAAACTCTACTTTATTAATATAGGCTATAATAATCTTGAAAGACTGACAGCATTTCCCCTTCATTTGCTCCTATACCAAAGAAAGTCAAGGCAAGTCACCTTTAAGTTTCTTTCTCATACTATCTAGTCTTCCTGAGCTTAATTCACATTTGGTTAACAGCCTTTGCGTTTGCAGAGTCAACTCTGTAGTTCTCAATTGCACTGGGCCCTAGTTTCTTTTTGGATGAAATATCAAGTGTTGGTTATGACCTTTAAAATTCTGTATAGCTGTGATCTAGGTTACCCTGCCTGCCTTGAGCAAATCTGAGGAAATTCAACTACAGTTGCTATGGGCTTGCCTCATAGTGATCTTGGAGCTAAGCCTTTCTGCGGGCCTTTCTAGTGCTTTTGATTCAGTCTCCAAAACATGCTTTGGAACATGAACAGGTATGAACATAGCACTTGTCTGCCACACCTTAAAGCAGCAGTGTCCTTTTCTTAGGATTGCATACCTGCCTTCACAACTGCTGCTTGACCCCAGGAAAGGATTCAGTGGTTTTTAGGTGTCGCAGAAAGGTGTCACATTTGTACTCCTGCATACTCCGAAGCACTTTGTGGAGATCAAAGATAAAATGCTGCACTTTTCTGTAGCCACTCCAGTTCTTTGGAATGTACTGCAGTTGGGGGCATTAACTTCTTTCTTCTCTCTTAATTTAATTTTGATTTTAATTAATTTTAATATTTTTTGTTTCAACTCCCCCCCCCTTCTTTTTATTGTAAACTGTTGAGAGACTTGAGTGGACACTACTATGTACAGTGTAATGCCTACAAACATGGCCCT